TACTCAAAAACCATATTAACCTGGGCCTCGGAAGTAGCCTCTGGGGAATAGCCGTTGGTATTATCGAGGTCCCTACGTCCTCACTACTACTAAAACTACTAGAAGATTCTCGACCCTCACTACTCGACATCACTTAGCAAACTTAAGACTTAGCTTATGAACAACTTAAAGTCTCGAGCCTTACCTGGAGTTCCCGACGACTTGAGAAGTTCCCAAAGTGTTTTTCTCGAGCACGACCTCGCAGAACTCTGATTTACAGTGGGTAAAAGTGAAAAATAAAGGTGAGAACAACAGTATTTATAGGTGAAAACGATGGGAGGCCAAAGGTCGCTATCTACGACCGTCCACGAAGACACGTGTCACAAATCCAAGCCACTCTCTGCAACGGTCATATCTCGACCTATATCATCAGCCATCACTTCTCGACGAAGGTTCGAGAAATGACATAACCTATGTGCACCCCATCCTAAGAGCTCGATCTCTAGGACGAGTGCACGGGGGCCAGTGACTATGTCAATATTTATATACCCCGAGGAGTTTATCCCGAGGACTCCATGTATACCCCATCTCATTTCTCTGCTATGGTCCTCGGGTCTCCCTAAGTCCTCGAGGTATCGTAGTCCTCGAGATACCTCTAGGACATATTTACATTCTCTCAGGTCCTGGAGAATAGTCCTCGAGACATACGCCACCTACATGCCTCCTAGGACCTGGGTACCTAACAAACAAAGCTAAACACCCAAGGATTCTACATCAACCCTGATACCGCTTGTCAAACAATTCCATTACAAGTAGGACACTCTTTATAAATAGAAATTCTCTTGGATAAAAACATCCAACCAACACGATCCTACTAGAAGTACACTACATACCTCGTTGCCTTTATTTCAGGTATCAGAAGACCGCTATTGTGATCAACCCGAATCATCAAACTCGGAAAATCAGCAGGTACGATTTTTGGTATCATCACTAAGTATTTTTGAAATGAATAAACAAGTTTTATTCTCCAACGATCCCCATTCCCTTATTCACCTGCTCAAACCATCACCAGTCAATTGCCATCACCACCACTACCTGAACACAACGATTTAGATTTTCTTTTATCCTTAGAATTCATTAAAATCTATCGGCAAGATGGTGACTTAATTCTCGTGCAGTTAAGAATAGTAACAGGTATCATTTACTACCTATTCAGAATATTCTCTATTCACAGTTATTGCTTAATTACCACTCTTGCTTTAAAATGAGTATTTTATTGATTTTTCTTGCATTATTTGGATATTTGCTTTCGTAGGCCATGTAATGTAAGAGCAACATGGTGCCACGTTTGTGGAAGATCATTATTATAGAGATAATTTTTTTTGGAAAACTGAAGGGCCCAACATTTATATCCACTGAGTTTTGATGTTATATTTATTTAATTCGGCATTATTGAAATCTAACTTCTTTGGTGGTAGTTGACATCTTAATTTCAAGGTGTAATTTTTTTTTTTTTTTTTTTTCAAGTTGTCAAAGACAATTAAATTGAGGATGACTTTGAACGTCTCCCAACCTAGGCAATTATTGAGATATTGATATAAAATTAAATAAAAATATGCTTCAATTAATAAAAAAAAAAAAAAAAAATTCTTAATCATGTCTCATGTAGAGCAAACCAAGAAGTAATTTTATTACCAACTCACACTAAACACAGTAAGATAATAGTGGCGTGGGCGAGGAAGGACTATAACACGACACCATATTTCTTACTTCAATGCTCTAGTTTTCTGAGTTAGAGTCCTCCCCGTCTCGCATTACATAATTAGAACAATATTGATATTGGAATTTTATTTATAGCATAGCACATGACAATAGAAAATTAAGACAATATATATTTTTAAATAGTTAAAACAAGTGGTGTTTCTTCTTTCCCTCTCCCTCTGCCCTTTCTTCGTCATCCTTGGCCTCTTCCTTCTCGTGATGCTCATGGAAAGCATATCCACCCGAACCAACCCCGACAGCTGCTGCAACTCCTTCTTCTATCTTGTGCCTTTGGGCATGCTCGGGGTCTTTCTTTGACTCGTGCTTCTCGTACTGAACGTGATTAAGGAATAAAGATAGTAAAATATTTATCATGTCCAATTGATCAGAATTGACGAATTATATTTTAATCTGCAATAAAAATAAAAGAAGAGATATTTACCAAAGCGAAAGCCCCAGAAGCGAGGGCTCCCATCTCTCCGAGGTGTTCCTTATGCTTATGTTCCTTCTTTTCTTTCTCATAATCATCAGTTGATTTTTCATAATCATCAGACGATTTTTCATAATCACCACCGCCAACGGTTGTGTTGTATCTGCCACCAGCAGTCTCGGTATTATATCGGGCACCACCAGTGGTTGTATTGTAGTCGTCACCTGCAGAATCTGTGTTGTAGCGGCCACCACCAGCAGTGGTATTGTAGTCGCCTCCACCAGTCGAATAACCACCACCAGTTGATTTTTCATAATCACCACCGTATCCGGTACGGCCGGCGTTTGGATTGTAGTCGTCACCAGAAGTATCTGTATTGTAGCGACCACCACCAGCAGTGGTATTGTAGTCGCCACCACCAGTTGAATAACCACCACCAGTAGTGGTATTATACTCGCCTCCAACACCAGTTGTCTTGTAGCTGTCACCAGAGCCATAGGTATTCTCAGAGTAGGCGGGCTTCTCCTCATCCTCATCGTCCTTGTGACGGTGGAAGAGGCCGTGGTGCTTCTTCTCTTCAGCCATTTTACTATTAATGAAAATTACAAAGTGAATAATGATTCAGAGATGTGTGTAATTGGATGGAGTGGGTGCATGCTATTTATAAAGTTTGATTGCATGGAAATTGGACCGTTGAGATGCATAAATGGAACAATATTACTTGGACGGTTAGGATACTATATATTCGTTACAATATAGTTCAAAGTTTCAGCCTTGGAGAAATAACACGTGGCCAAGTTCAACTGCACAGTGCCGCACCAATTAAATACCGATCGGTGTCGGCATCAGGAAATAATCATATCTTCCACTCATTTTTACAACGGGGAAGGCCAAAGTGACAAGTTGTCACCAAGAATCGCCCTTCTGCAAGAGAGAATTTACAAAAAATAAGAGAAAAGAGAGAGAATTTAAAATTTGCTGACTTATTTTAAATATTGAAATATAAATCAATATATAAGAGTTTGATACTTCTTTTAATCTTGTTTGTTTTAAGATTTAAAGATTGCAACGAAATGTGGCATTCATCCTTGTCCCTCTTTCAGTTTGAGGTTCTTCCCCTTGCAATGCCTCCTATCCCTCCTTAAGGACGGGATGGGGCGAGGCCGTGAGAGCGGTGTAAGTCCCAAGAATCTCCAACCCATTCAGAGTGGAGTCCTGCGTGTATTAAATTCAAAGAAATTTTTTGTCATTCCTATTAAGGTCAAATCTCTAATCTTAATATGGTATCATGTATATGTTATTATATTATAATGAGCAATTTGATCAATAAAACTCAAAAAGATTACATGAATTTCAAGATTATATCCTTAACACAAATCGCCGTCTTGTGAGTGTATGCTAATTAATAAATCTCATAAGGTGAAGTATCAAAATATAAATCAATATATAATTACTTGTACTATTCTTCTTAAAAATGTTAACTTTTAAGACCGAACTCCATGTCTTAGCCATATTCGGTATAATTAAAAAAGTTGATAAAAATCTAAGAGTGCTTTTGATTGCCAATATTTTTCATAGAAAATGTCAATTTTCTATCCAAATTTCTACTTTCGTGTTTTTTGATTGATATTTTTTCATGGAAAATATTTTCTTACTTTTGTTCACATTATCATATTTTTCTTGAAATAAGAAAAATATTTTCTTTAGGGGAGTGGGTTTTTATTTTTCAAGTAACTCTCTCGTTCTTTCTCATCTATCAGCTAATGAAAAATGGACAAGTATAACATTTTTAAAAGATTAAATTAATCAAACATATTTAATTGACAATTTTCATGTAAATAAGTTATTTCCATATAAATTCATCAAATATCCTAAGTTTAAATCAACAATTAATTTTAATCACACATTTCATAGAATTCATAATTTTTATTAACCTTTCAACCACATATCATCAACTTTTATAAATATTTATTGAAAATTAGGTTTTAACTACATCAAACATGTGCTTAGTAATTCACTCCCTCTAGTTGAGTCTTCATATCTAAATGAACATCTATACATTATCCATTTTTCTTTATAATGACCATGTAATGGAATCCTTGTTAATTTGATGCATAGGAGAGGAAATTTTCTGCACATCGTGTATTCTTTCTTGTGTAATACAATATTTTCAGCAATCCACGATTACAATGAAGATGCTCTTAATACGCCCTATTTTGGAGTCCATTATTAAAAAAAGAATTTTGAATAGTATTTTGAGGAGAATGTGTCGTTAAAGAGTAGGAAAAAAATTTGTGTTTAAATTTATAATATTTTATTGTGTGAATGTATGGTTGAAAATAATTTTATTGCAATTTTTTTTTTTAAAACAATAGTCACCAAACAGGGGCTAAATTTTAAACAACTTTATCATTTGTATAGTTCCCAATCTTCAGCTCTTAGAGCAATATGGTCTCTAACCTAACCTATTTTGGACACATCCTCTTCGTTTGTTCTTAATCAACTAAAATGTAAGTACTGCCATTCATAAAGCACAGACAGTCCATGTTTAAGTATGTCCTCTCCAATGGTTTTTCTAACTGAAGTATGACTTTCTAGGGACCATTTGTGCTTTAAAAAAAAAAAAAAAAAAGGAAGATCGACGACTAAGCATGTTCAAAGAGTGCTTATAAATTTTCAAATTATAAATTAATAGAAATAAGTAATGAAAAAATATTTATGTATATATCGAAATATATTAATAAAAATTAAAAAATAACTTGAGTACTATAAACATAATACAAACAAGTACTCCTGCTATTAAAACTTCATTACAAAAATATGAAAAAAAAAAATTAATATCTATAAGCTTCATTGTCAGGGGTGGACGCGAAAATTTTTAGTTAGAGGGTACAGTCAAACTCTGTACAAATTGAATACTTTGTTCTTGATTTTGGAATGATTTATACCCGACCTAAGAAAATACAGATTTACATTTAAAAAACATTTATTCATTAATATTTTGCTCATCATTTTCATCCATTTGATTTTAAACAGTCATTTCATTAATATTTTGTTCATTACAAGAAATTGCATATTTATGTTTAAAAAAATTATAGTGTATTAAAATACAAACAATCAATTCAAGTCATCGAAAGGAAAAACATATAACTAATATTCAATAAAATAAATATATTTCGTTAAATATAAGTTAAATTGTATATAATCGATTTAGACACATTCTATGTACACAAATAAGATAAGAGAAAATGCAAATTTATGTTCTAATTAATTAAAAATTTAATTGGAAAGTGAAAATTTGTAGTAGATGTGACGATTTGTAGAAAAATTATAGACAAATTTAACAAAATTAGAAGGGTTTAAGTTTTGATAAAATGTGTGAGGGAGTATGTGAGATTGAGTAAGGGAAAAAAACTTCAAAATTATTGTAATTTTGCCCCAATTTGGTGGAGGTTAAAATCAGACTTTTAGTATATTTTAATAAAAGTTAAAAAGTTAAGGGTTTCATAAGATATGTTATTAAAATTAATTGTTGATTTTGATTTAGATTTCAATCGATATCAAACAAAATTTATCCCAAAAAATAAATAAATAATAAATAATAATAATAATAATCAAAAGTTTGGGGGGGGGGTCATGTGACCCCCCAAGACCACCGTTGGGTCGCTCATGTTCACTGTCAACCGTTCTCATTGTTTTCTTTTAAGTGGCTTTTAAAATTTCGTAGAATGCACGCAAAGGACGTGTTAAAGATATACAATAGATTCTGTTATAACACACAAATCGAACGACTGTTCTATCATTTTCAATTAATGATCATTCTATTTTTAAATAGTTGAACCATAATAAAAATCAAAATTTATTGAGTTACACTCTTACTTAGCTAGAATGAAATCGAAATAATTCCTTGGTTGATAATAATATAATTACTCTTTAACTAAATGCAAGGGTAAAATCGTCAACAATAAAAACGATAAGAAAATTGCAATATAATTACTCTTTAACTAAATGCAAGGGTAAAATCGTCAACAATAAAAACGATAAGTTGATAATAATATAATTACTCTTTAACTAAATGCAAGGGTAAAATTGTCAACAATAAAAACGATAAGAAAATTGCAATATAATTACTCTTTAACTAAATGCAAGGGTAAAATTGTCAAATAGGGTTGCCTTATCCATAAATGTCAGTTTCCATCAATCACGTCTGTCGGCACTGCTTTTTTGAAAAAAAAAAAAAGAAAAAAAGAAAAAGAGAAAAAGAAAAAGAAAAAGAAAAATCTGTCGGGAAGATTTAACAGTTATAACTCAATATATATTCAGAATATTCTCTATTTCTTTACTAAAGAGATTACCATTATTGCTAATAAAGTGACGCTGTTGACTGGGTTAATTTTAATTAACAGCCACTGAAGTTTGTTAAAAGTTTCAAAATGATCATTAGAGTAATTTTCAATCACTCAGGTTTTCAGTGGTTATATGATTACTCGACTGAAAACGTTAAAAAAATCCTATGTAGTGCCATTACATATCAACGTGGATACGAATGACATTAACTAGTATGCCACGTCAAATATAATAGTAGATTTTAATTAAAAAAAACACCTTTAAGTTTAGAGACGTATTCTTGTAATAAGCTTTCATGCTAAATGTTTTTTACCACGCAAATATTATTAATTCGAACATAAACGTCATTCCTAAATCCCCAATTTATTGATCCCCAAGATTAATTGCCGTTTGTATCTACCATGGTTTTTTTTTTTTGTTAATATTTCCAATCAAGTGATCTTAGTGTAACGGTTAAGAATTTTAGTGACTACTACTTTAAGAAGAATAAGATCATTTTAACCCTTTGATACATGTTTATCGTTGACTCATAATGTATGTGTTTAATTCAAAATTTCTTTCTAAAATATTTTATACATGAAAATTAGTTTCTGATCTTAGGTACTGAATAGTAAATATTTAAAAAGCAAATTATACTCTACTCTATGCTAGATCACAAAAATCCAGTAATCATATCAAAGAAGGAAAATAAAGATAAAAAATCTGAAGGATAATGCTTTCATTTGGGCCACAAGTTAGAGATAAATGGCAAGACACGATAGACATTTAAACAAAAATCTGTTATTGGTTGGCCATAGAATTTATAGTTTTCTTATATTTTCGTGGGACATATAGTGCCGAAGTAATGCCACGTTTGTACACGACGGTATATATGTATAGGAATGCTACAGAAACAGACTATACACATTTCGATATATGATCGAAGAGTTTGAAGGAAAAAAAAAAAACACCCAACAACTTGCTGTCACTTTAGTCTATTTTTTGTTTCCTATTTTTTAGCCTGTCTGTTTATCATTTTCCTACAACGTATGTGTTAGGAAAAATGAAGGGCCCAAGATTTGGATAAAAATGAGTTTGCTTTTAAAATTTAAACTTCTTTTCATTTACACGTTATTTCAATAAATAATTTTATACGTAAATTTAAAAAAAAAAATCTTATTTTTTAGCCACACGTGCTAAAAAATTCAAATTCTTACAAAAAGAAAAAAAATAAAAAATAAAAGAGCTCGAAAAGAAACTGGATTTATTCATTTTGGCATTAAGAGTAACCTCTTTGATTGTGAGCATCTGATTTTGTGAGTTGGACGTGTGTAAAGTAGATTAGAGTGGTATCTCATGATTTGGGCAGACATCCAATAGAATTGGCCATTGGAGAGAGGGTTGGATTTTTTTGGGATAATAGCATATTTGATCCTCAACCTTTCAAAAGCATATGGGATATACCATAACTTAATAAAAAAAAAAAAAATAAATAAATAAAAATATCCGAACGTATGAGAAAATAGGCATGGTAAATCACTATGACAGAATCCATTAGTTTTTCCCATTATCTCACTCGATTGAACTTCACTTGTTATTTAACCCAAAATATTCATTTTCTTGCAACATATATGCCCGTATGATATTTTCAACTCAATTTTGTTGTCTTCTCCCTTGTTTCTTGCTGCAAATATGGCAAGAAGGGTATATGCCGATATGAAAATTTCATAGATCTAAAAACTTCTTGGACTTATGCAAACCCGTTTGGGAGACGTGAATCTGAATTATGAGTCTGACAAGACTTCAATCTCTCCAATTGAGTTAAGTATTGGCCATCCAAAGAGTAGTGTTTGATTAGACTCGAAACCGGCTACATTTGGTCACTTTAAAGACAAGACTTTCTATCCATAATAGAGTTTTGATAAGCCCTCACAAAAGTTCGTCATCTGACTCTTCGAAATGTCACTATAACATAATATCAACATAGTATATATTTGATCCTCTCAAATTAATTTTCATTTTTTTAAAAATCAAAATGTCTCACACATGCAATATTTGTAAATGAACTATAACAAAAACTTTAAACTTAATGCATTTTTATATTATGATACTAAACCAAACTATATGATCTAAAAAGCTTAAACTTTTATAGTAATATTTTCAACATCATAAACATAAATGATAAGTTATATTTTCTTGCGAATTGCTATACAGGTCGACCAACTATAACAATCATTCATAGTGAAACTAACACGAAATGTCTAAAAATCTCGTATTCGTGCAACTACAAATACATTTGACTTTCACATTTTGCATTTCCAATAGCCTTTTGCCAAAGAGAAAAACCATTCCAAAGAGAAGAAAATGTTTCTTAACAATGAATATTGAGATTTCAAGCAAATTCATACTTGCTTCTACTTTGGGCGATTTGACCTTTGAATCCAATAAAATTAAAGTGGAAATTGACATTTGAACCGAATTTCCAAAGTTATCATCATCACTGTATAGAATATATGTGCCTCAATGATAACCTACAGATTTAATTTCAATTTTTGTTTATATATACTTGGACTTTCATCACATACAACAATCCAAAATCAACCCCCCCCTCCCCCGAAAAAAAGGCTTTAAGCTGGTGGCATTCTATCAAGACTTCGAAAGCGATTGTGTTACATGTATATAATGATTTATATATACATAATGTGGTAAAATATAATTGGATCAAAAAATTTTCAACCAAATAAAAAAGATAAAACTTCACCATTCTCTTTTTGATAGATCATTTGTATATAAATTATTATGTAAATTTTCACGTACAAGTAGAATTATTCCTTTCAAGGTATGATGTCTCGAATTAGTTCAAACTTAACACATAAGCAATTGCATTTAAAGTGGGAGAGAAATTAAAAAGCTTATAGAAGTGTTCCCGACGTGCGGTATTAGTCTTAACGAGATGGTTTTGGGGAGGATCAAGAATTATGACTATTTCAGTACGTTTGATATTCCTGACGTGCGGTATTAGTCTTAACGAGACGATTTTGGGAGGATCAAGAATTGCCCGTTTCAACACGAAAAAGAATTTCATATGCCACTTTCTTGTGTTGAAGACGAGTAATACCTCCTAAATGTATTTGGTCTCACTCAATTTCATGAAAGATAAATTTGACAGCAGTGGAGTGGAGATGATGATTTAGAGGTTGTCATATCATATGCATGTATGATTTGAATCCACAACACACCCACCGCTAAAAAAATATACTGAAAAATAATCAGGTGAAAAAAGGGTAAAATCAACAGAAGCGGCTTCTGAATTTTAAATCTGATATTGCAAATAGAAGAAACTATATATGAGTCAAGCTCGATGGGTAAAGCATGAAAAAACTGAATGAAATGTTCATCAATCCAGAGGCGTTTCTTAGAAGGTCACTGTCAAGAGAAGTATAGAGTAAGAAATTGAATTGGATGGGGTACGTTGCTGTGGCCACAGATGAGGAAAATCAGTGTTAAGACGGAGAGAGGTCCTGATTGCGTGGAGAGGAACAATTAGGGTATTGGAATGGGTGAATGATTTTGAATTTGGATTGGTTCCGGCACCAGAAATCTTTGAAAGAATGGTAACCCTAAAGTGCATCATGGTTGGTACTCCATCTACACTTCAAATGATCCAAAATCGCCCTTTAAGAAGACCAGTGCCAGACAACAGGTAAACTTTCACGCCACATTCACTTGCAAACTATGAATTACTACAAATCGTACAACCCGGTTGGGAAGGAAGGAGAGGAGGCACTTGATTTTCATCTTTCTTTAGTAAGGATATAAAAATTTGCTCTTGGTTTGTTATGGCTGATGAAATATTTGATGGGACACTTTCTTTTAAGCATTTTGAAAACATTATTTGGTAAAAAAAATTTCACTATGAAACAAGAAATATTATATACCACCCTACTCTTCTTCTTTTCTCCCTACCAAACACAACAGAAAACCTTTGCATGCCATTTTGTCTCCTAAATGCACCACAAGAGATGCAAAGCTAAAATTACCCATTTCTTGTATCGTTTTCCAGGTTCTTACTGAGGTTAGAAGACTGGTAGAAGAATACAAGGATGAGGAAATCAGCATAACTATTACAGGCCATAGCTTGGAAGCAGCAGTTTCTACCCTAAAAGCAATTGATATTGTTACCAGTGCATACAATTTTCTTAATACCTTCTCTAATCTACAAAGTCTTTGAGTTCTGCGTATAAGGAATGCCCGAGATGATGTTCCTACCTACCCATTGATAAATTACAAAGATGATGGTGAAAAGCTGCCCATTGACACCAGTGAATCAAACTCCTTGAAAACTCCTGGTAATTTGATAGCTTGGAGGCTTATTTACATGGAGTTGCAGGCACAAAAGGGAGCGAAGGGGGATTCAAACTGGAAGTTAATCGCGACATCATGCTTGTTAATAAATTGCTAACTTTTATAGGAAGAATCTCAACTTTCAGCTTTGCAACACAAATTGCTTACTTTTCAACATTTTCAATTAAAATTAACACTGGGTTGCTCCTATAGAGCTCACATCACAGTTCATCGACAATTTATACCACATTTACTTTATCTTGTAATATAGGATACAAGGGACAGGAAAAATGACCATATATAGCATACCTTCAATTACACAGGTGTTAACTGACATATGATAAACTAGTAACATCAAGTTTACATATCGACAAAACAATTCCTCTTAACATTTTACTTATTCCCCCTCTAATCCAAAAATCAACTCTCATATGCTAGTCAAATTTCAAAGAACCATACATGCTTACAAAAATTTTTTAGAGCAAAGAGTTTCATTCAGCTACATTTGTACATAAAATAAATAATATAACTAAAAAGGGTAATGTTAATTGTACGAGTAACGTTATTTACAGCCGACTATTGTAGTAGTCATCTTATGTGTCAACTTGTTATTTGAGATATTAGCTTGTTATTGAGGCAACATAATTACAGGAAACTATTACCTAAAATAATAAGCTGTCATATAAGATGATCATTGTAGTTGCTGACTATGAATAACATTATTTTTATTCTATTTAGTTGTAACACATTAGTCTCCAAGAATTTTGATGACATGGAATGAATTCAAAGAAATTCAAGGTATTCGTTAGTTGGCAGCAAAGGAAAGCTATTATAACATCACATAGAAGTAATGAATAATGAGAACCAGATACTTTCTCGAGACTCTGAAAATCAATTTCTTTTCATAATATATGTAATACTATCTCAAATAGTATGACACTGTTAAAGAATTTCAATTTCTTAACTAGATTGGTACATCAACAGAGAGGATGTGTGTTAGAGAAGAAACCAACAATCCTTACCACATAATCTTAGACAGCAGCATCAACTTAAATGAAATGGTAATAATCCATCTATTTGGCCTTTGGCAATTGTGAAATCATGTCAAATCCTATCAAATCAGATGCGGGGGGAGCTCACCACTGAAGCTACTGCTTAACTTAAAGTGAAGCTTCAATACGTTGAATGAGCAGGTCAGCAGCCATTGCACCTTCCTGCAAATTTGATTTATTTATTTTTTTTATTAGAAAAAGAATAACAGCACAACATGATTAAGAATGTCAACGATTTTGGAACTTGACCATGCTGGATTGATGCCTTCTTCCCTTCTGGTCATTCCTTTTCACCAAGGGACCCACAAGGTGCTAGATATCAATGTAGTTAGATATCAATTTCTAAGTTTATGGGTACAGGTTGGGTATCTTCCAGTGTCTTTTGAATGAAACTATAACATTTTAGTCTAATTCCGTAGGGTAGCTAGATACTGAGTAGTATACAGTCCTTTCCCTTTGTGGGGTGTAGATTGGAGTTGAATCTAGCTCAGCTGATGATGTCCAGCCTGGTTAGACACAACTTTTGTATGACTTGAATGGAAATATGGGGACTGCTACCCTTGATAGTAAATATAAAGTCATAATACAGAAGGACAAAAACGGAAATCACATCCTAGTTAATCTTCTAATTAAATGTGAAAAAGCATTAGAAGATGTTCAATCAAAGAAAATCAATTACTTACAAAGCGGTCGCATGGTTTCCCATCCTTAAACAAAATGAAAGTTGGCAATGCCTGTATTTTGTACTTTTCAGCAATGATAGGGTACTTCTCTGTGTCGATTTTCACTATTTGGATTTTATCACTCATTGAATCACTGACTTGTTCTAGAATAGGAACCATAAACTGGCAAGGACCACACCTACAAAATGCAAATGCTATTAGATTATTTACAGATTCAACCATGGATTTTCTTACCCTCATTCCCGTCGCCTAAGAAACCACAATAACTTCACAAAACTAAAACCAGAGCTCGAAAAATACTCTTGAAGTTAAAGGGTAAAGTCCAGTTAGGTACAAATTGATCGATTAAGCTAGAACAATTAAAAAATATCTGAACAAAAATCCTCCTTTTGTAGGGGAAAGCCTAGGGCTGAAATAACAAAATCACTAGCTTACCAAGTGGCATAAAAATCAACCAATACTGGTTTATCAGCATTTTCCAACAAATCATCAAAGCTAGAAAATGTCTGCTTCTTGGCCTCAACCTGACAGGAAAAAGATAGCTCACAAAAGAAAATGTTAACTACCTAAAATACTTACAGCTGGATAAAGCTAGCTCACAAAAGAAAAAAAAAACTAAGTTGGAAAATCGCATTACACATTATGCTGCAGTACACAGACACTGTAATTGTAAGAAAATTTTTTCACCATAAAGCATCTCAAACTTCATAAACAGGTCTTGTACTACGCATCCAACAACAATTTTTGCACTTACTAAATTTTCAAATACCCATAATTTTCTTTGAAACAGCTTTGAACTAGTTGTGCGGCACTATAAAGCTGTCAACACAGGTTATGAGTGATACCAATCCAAACTCAAGGTCTAGTTGGATATGAAGCTCAATCTTACCCTACAGTAGCATTAAAGGTGTAACCATACACCCAATATGATGTCAAACCATGTTCAATTTCCTAGATATTAGTCACGTGTTTTTAAAACTGCTGACTGAAGCTCAATTTGATGAATGGATATTATTAAACAACTCAAGCACTGAATTACACAAAATGCAAATGGTGCATTGTATTTCTGTTAAAAAGATCTCATGCATTCAATTGACAGCACATGAAAAAGAGAACTTTAGAGATTCCAAGATTATATTTTTATTCCCTTATTATAGAATCCAAACTCCATGCTTCGGGCTATTTTTCTACGAACCTCCCCTTCGAATTTTTCCCTCTTCCTTTAAATAGTCAAAGGTTCAGCGTCTATGTTGAGTCACAGTGGAGCCCTATTTACCATGAATTGTAAAAATGTGAAGCACAGGCATGAATCCTGAATTTATTCATTTAAAATAAAGCCAAAAATTCGAACTTGTGTAACTAAAATTCCAATAAATATAAAATTACCAGACCCGAGAGATTATTGAAAACTTCACGAAAATAATCCAACTACACCATACTGAACATCCAATTGACTCTAGTTCATAAAACCCACAAACAAAATCCAGCAAAATATTCATAACTTCTTTCCTTTTTTCACAAATGAGCTGAAAATCCAAAGTAATTACCAGAGGAAGAGTTCTCGGACCGAGTTTGGATAAGAGCCTTCGGTTTCGAATTGTTAAGGCACGAAGCTCATTTGGAAATTGAAGGGAGGACAAGTGGCAAAACTTTATTTGTGAATGTACTGATGATGAAGAGGATACGGCTACGTTTCCGGGAACTACAGCCGTTGCTACTGAAATCGCCATTGCTTCCAATAAAATGGGAGAAAGGCCAAGAATTAGGAGATAATATCAACATGCTGGGCGATTTGCGCAAGAGGAGATAGACCCGCAATAAGGCCGTGTTTGGATAACTAAATTGTAGGTGGCAAACTGGAATCTACTCATGGGTTATTATGTCAAAAGGCATGTTTGATGTAGATTTTTTAAGAATAAATTTTTGTGAAAATTAAGTTTTTCTAAAGAATGTGTGATTAAAATGTAAGAAATATTTATTACTTCATGTGCAAATTTATTTTATTGGAAGAACTTGTACTTTAAATATAAGTTTGAAGAAAAATAAGTTTTAAATACTTTCTACCAAACAGGAGCCAATGAGCGCATTCCATGTGTAGGGGATTGTGTGACGATGGTTTCTCACTGGTGAGGAAAATTAATAGACGTGACAAAATGTACTGGCTAGCCTAGAAAAAATGTGTAAGTCGAAGAACATTGTTGTTTCCTCATCCTTAACGCTTTTCAAGCTTATTACGCCACACTATGAAAATTTTATCCTTAGGGTGGCGGATCTTCAAAGCCCGAAGGGATGTTGGAATCAAACACATTGACGAGCGCTTTGTACCATTAGATAGCGAGATTAGAGATTTGTACTTCATTAATAAAAGGGTCTTGAGTACGATTAAAATTGACAGTGATGACGAAAAGTCTCAAAAACCCCAAAAAAAAAAAAAAAATATATAGAGGAACACAAACAAATAAAACAAAAATCGTCAAATGGGATAAATTTTTCCACTTATCGAATATCAAATTGGAATATTCCAAAAATATTGTCAAATAAATTAGTCACATTCATCAACAACTACTGACGGAGGAACAATAGCTAGTGAATAAAGCCAGGCAGACAGGCTAAAAAATAGGGAATCAGAGGACAGATTGATTTGACAGAAATTGTTTTTTTTTTGAAAATTTTGAAAGTGTCCAGTCATGCTTCGACACGGGGCACGCACAAATCATTGACAATAATATTAAGAATCTACAATGGGGACAGAGGTATTACAGTGGGCAAGTGACAGCTTGTGGGATGTATGATAAATTATTTAGGGTTAACCTAATCCATGATGTTGATGAAGGGAAGGTGACAGTTTATCTTGATGGTGAACAAAAGATAAGAGGGCCTTGGAGACTTGTATTTCAAATGTGGAGTTTATGCAGCACCAAAAGGCATCAGTTACAATATGTAATTTAGGTGGAGAGACTGAAAATTATACAAGAAATAATGATACGTGTACAATATGGGACAGCATATTTACTGTAGTTTCTTTATACTCATATGATCAGTCATTAGTAAATATATTTGACATGTTTGTACTCATGTTGTCGTGTTGCTGCTAGAAATATATATTGAAGGCTTTTTTTTCTCTTTTGAAAATCGAATTTAAATAAATAAATAAATCTGGCCATTTAGAGAACGTAAACTTTCACACAAACAATTCGATCTCTATAAAGTTCAAAAGAGCAATTGAATCTAAATATTGATGTTTTCAAATGAGCCACCAACAAATACGGATATGTTAAAGATAAAATTCCGCATTGAAACTCCCCAAATGGGCCGAGACAAGCCGATCTCCAAAATAGGTTGAGACGAACCAATTCTCTTTTCCCTCGACCTCAAGGTCATTCACTCGGTCCACGAAGTGGGGTTAGTGATACTATTAAGAATGAAAATAATCATGCAATGGCACCCAAACATGTTAACTCGAGAGTGTGCTCCTAAAATCATGCCAACATTCTTGCAAAATCTTTTTCACTAATTCATTACAACAAATTTCTAGATTCTATCCAACGAATCTGGATATTTCCATGCTTATAATGAAAGGCCACAGCTGAAAGGGTCCGATTGCTGTTAAGAATATGTTGAAGTCATGGCTCTTTCAGTGATTTCTTATTCGACATCCCTAAGGAAGAAGATCAAGTTGACTATTGCGAACAGCTTGATCGCACTCTCTCCCTTTAACCCTTTAAGCATAATGCGGCAAAAGAGAAGGTAGAAAAATACATGGACCGACCTCATCATCTTCATCCCGTAGCCCATAGGAACTACAAGATCATCCTAAAGTAATCTTTTCAAGAGTGATAGTGATGTCTTAACTTATCTACTAAAATACTGATTAAAGAGGGACACCTTTGATTGATTATAATTTTTACGGGCGACAAACAGATTAGTCACGGGTGGAACCCATATGAGTTCTTGTATTAAAAAAACAATAGATAATATTTTTATTATTTAAATAAATAATGCTCATGGACATAAAGATGCCAAACATATAAATCCAACTGCATATGTTCCACAGCAGTACTTTTTGTGACAGATTTATTTGGGATCACTAGTAAATATTCACTAGGCTTGTCTTCGTTTCATAATGGCATAGAATATTCCTCAGATAAATAATTTTTCTATGGGAAATAAAATCAGCAGGCAGTGCTTGGGACAACTTTATTGTTACAATAATTTGTAATAAAAACATATTATGAAGGTGGTTGTCTCAGACGTGGCTATTTGAGAGGATTACTCTAGTAGAACACTGGTTCCGTGAAGCAACTTGATTGAGAAAATGGGTCAGTGTAGACATCGGTTTTTGAAGGAGAGATGGATCATAATAACTATAACTATATCTCGCTAAGTTAAAACTTGACTTACGGGTTTATAAATAATAGGCTACCTGCCTACCTCTCTTTACAAGTCGATTTTAAGACTTCTGAAGTGAATAGTGCTCAAGATTTTCTGAAACTACCAAAGAAATCTTTTTTTAGTTTTGTAATGGAATAAAAAAATTGAGTGAGCTACATGAATTCTCCACGACTTCGTTCTTAAGCCCTTGATTGTTTATAGAAGTAATGAAGAATTCAGAGACGTGTGGTTTTTCATGACTCCATTCTTAGGTCCTTGATTTTTTTATCACAGAAAGTTCCATTTCTTTGATCTCGTCCTTGGAGAGTAATGAGAACTACTAAGAACTTAAAATTAACCATTTCAAAGTTGGATATAGCAGATTTTCATGGTCGTAGGATGAAAAACCAAGAATAATTAATTATAGGAATGTCCATCAAGATACATTTATGCACAAGTCCTTCCAATAACAACCGGGAGCCTGTTTTTGTATTCTTTTATTACAAGACATTTTATTCCCCCACAAATTCTGAAAGAACAACTAGAAAACACCAAAACATGTATTGATTATAATAATTTACCTATAATGCAACCAGCCTACTTTCATTATATAAACATGCCTGGGCATTTGGATTTCTTGCAGTCAGTGAAAAACATGGATTTTTCCTACAAAAATGTGAGTTTTCTTGTAGTATTCTTGACTGCTGCTTACTTTTTTCTGCTAAGTTGTGCTGATCCTACAGAAGGGTTCACCAATGTGCCATTAACACAAGAAAATTTCGAAATCCAAAGGCCATATGATATACCCCTTGAAGAGAGATACAGCTTCTTAAATGGAACTCATCGGCTATGGGTTTATGCAAACGATAAGCCACATGACCCCAACAGTCACACACAGCCACGAACAGAAGTCAGGATACGTGTAAGAATTCTCGTCTTGTTTTCCTCCATTGGTAGCGCTCTCCTAAAAGTACTGACAAGTAATCTCAACTATTAGTTATAGATATAAGAACTTTTAATATTTCGATTCAAAGAAGTATTCTATTACATCCTTGTGAAGGTCAATATTACCTCAGATGGCGTATATATGTTATATAAGGCGTTATTTCTTCCTATGATTTTACCATGAGTCACAACCTTTTTTGCAGGGGCTTGATTACTATTCTGGTGTATGGCAATTTGAAGGCCATGCCTTTGTGCCAAATGGAACTTCTGGTGCCACAATTGTGCAAATTCATGGTGCATCCCATGGGGCGACGACGATAATATTAAGAATCTATAATGGAGACATGAGATACTACAGCGGTCAAGTGGTGGCAACTGACCTATACGATAAATGGTTTCGTGTTAATCTAATACATGACGTCGATGGAGGGAAGGTGACATTATTTCTCGATGGTGTAGAAAAATTCGAGACAAAAGATCAAGGGCCGGGGGAGTTACATTTCAAGTGTGGAGTTTATGCTGCACCAGCAAATATCAGTTACTATATGGAATCAAAGTGGAGAGATATCAAAATATACAAGCAATACTGATAAATTAATCTCATTTGAATCTATGATGAATTAGCGCGTGCGAAAATATAAATAACAAATGCTGGAAGGATTAATTTCACAGCTTTATTTTGTGGTAAAATCAAGGGTCGAAATAAAATCTTCTCTGTCTAAACAAATACACATCTGTTGAATAACTTTGTCTAAAAGCTGCTTTATATTTCATTTTCTAAACACTCGCTCACGTGCAGCTTGATTTTCAACTTTTCATTACGGACATAATAAGTGAAATTTTCTAAAATGAGGAGAGAAGAGACTTTAATGCAGGACGCTTTGAACATGACACGTACACGATGCAACCAACGAACAAGCATTCAGATAAATGTTGCAAAAATGAATAAACATTTTCAGTCCATAAAAAATATCATCAAAATTACAACTGCAAATGCAGGAATAAATCCTCACCAAAGGTCAAACGAACAAAAGAAAAACAAAAAACTTATATTGTTTCGCCATCTGTCTTTACTGTAAATGAGTTTTGAGACATTAATGAAAAGAAATACTATGTTACAAAATTACAAAACAACCAAAAAAAGGAATCAAGTAATAGGTAATTATAGTCTGTCTGATAATCTGTTGTCTGAAAACACACCTAAGAACCACAAGGTAGGCAGCACAATCTTCCAATCTGAGTGAAAATGCGTTGCAGTGGATTTGGATCGTCATCTTTTTCTGAAGGTGATACATGGAATGGTACCTCGGGAGGCAGATGCCTGTGGAATGCATTGACTGCACTTCCAACACCATCCTCATTCTTGATTAACGCTGCTATTTCCGTTGCTTGAGATTTCACCTGCAAGAAAAGGTTCACAATATTAATCTAGCGATGCAATAATATTATTGTTTTTCTTATTAAGGGGGCATATTGTTAAGCTGTGGAGCCTAACTATTACCACCGTGCAGAGTCCGTATTCGGGTTGACCCTTTCATCAATTAAATAGTGAGCTGTCATTAGGGTTTATTTTATCATCATCAAAAGAGAAAGATGTTAGAGAAAAGAGGGTGTATAATTTCTCTTGTAAACTTCTAAATATTGAATTACTGCAGTGACGGACGAGAACGTAATCTCACACTAAAGCAAACCTATATAAATCTTGCATGTTCTTTTATTATGTTAATGCAATTTTCTTGCTCTTGGTGGTGTAGAATTAAAGTTTCTAATTCTCAATATATGGTTCCAATTTTATACAGGCAACTTTGCAATAGCTCTTTTCTTCTTCTACAGAGGCTTACTTAAACAGTATCCTAATTTCTAGTGACCTCAAACATTACTTGCAAAAATTTGGTATGCAATGACATTTATGGCACAGGATAAATGGCAATCAGATTTTTACCTCTGGCTGGAGCATGAACCTTATTGCTTCTGAAAGAGCTTCAACACTGAGCTGAGATATAGGAATGGGAGCAGGTCCCAGCCCTCTCTGATGAATTCTCTCTCCCCAGAAAAACTGATCTCCGAAGAATGGAACTATAGTTGTTGGACACTGCATTGAATACCGCAGGCCGAAATTTAATATCAAAATGAAGTAATTCAGTCATTCAATTCGACTCTTTTCACTAAGTAACCATTCCCTAATAATTATGTTGGCGTCAAAACAAAAAATGTAGAAGGAAATTACCCCAGCTTTTAGTCCTGCCGCTGTAGTTCCAGCACCACCATGATGAACCTGCAAAAGTGTATTCCCGATCCCAGTGAGAGCATCAGAATCTTAAAAATGCTAATCCCTCTACATTAATGTGCAACCACCTTTTATTTCATTTATAACCAAGGATGAGCTATTTCTGTTTCGCTGTCCTCTCACCGCTCGAAAAGATAAATAAATCTAAAGGTAGCTTTGAACTCACCACAGCTGTACACAGGGGAAACAACCAGTCATGAGGGATATCCACGAGAAGGAAAACATCATCAGGAATCTCTGTATCTGCAATCCAAATATGAAACAGAAGTTCTTCAGAAAAATACCCATAGAACCCTTTTCATGCTCTAATGGTGTTGGAGTTGTGTTTCATTCCCTTGCTATATGAGAGTTAATATGGCAATTATTATAAAGACTTTCAACGATGCCAATAAGCAATAAGAGACAGAAAGATAAATAATAATAATAATAATAATAATAAAAAACAAAAAATACTTACTATTACCAAGATCTCCCCACCCTTGATCAATTATTCCTCTCTGTCCTGTATTCCTTAATGCCTCCAAAATGATATTAGTAGTTTTCTTTGAATCCTCAAGAGGCTAATCAAGCAAATAAACACCAGTATCAATAAATCTTCAAACCAAAAAATTTCAAGGGTTACACACTAAGGTACACATCTTTCTGCACAATGAAATCGCGAATTATGGCATTTAACATAATTCTTCAGAAAACAAAAAAAGGAACTTCGTGACCTCTTTCATCTTTTTGCTGATTGCATTGCAAATTTTCACCTTACACACTTGAATGCACATCATATCGAGTCAAACTGATTTGTATGGATAATCGCACAAAATTTGAGAACAAGTGCAGCGTAGGTTCAGAATAATTAATCCCAACAGCTGCAAAAAGCTTCCTCTACAATATAAAAAGCAAATTTATTCATGCTTTTATTTTTTCGTTCTTCAACACTGATGAACATGAATCATTTAAACATTAACAACTTGGTGTATATATGAAATTCATATACTGAGATCAAATTATAACAATGTACAACAATATATGCCTAATACAAAAGAGATTAACACATGTAAAGAAACAAGATCAAATGATAACAATGTACAGCAATATATGCCTAATATGAAAGAGATTAACACGTTTAAAGAAACTAGATTGTATTAGGGGAACATTGCTATCACATCTTCTTTTCCTTTTTTGTGTGATTTAGGGGGCAAGGGGTCTGAGTCACCATATAAATCAATCATCAAAAGAATGTAAAGAAAGACTGCTTATAAAGTCATACGATACCAAAATGAACAACTGTGCTTATAAGTTTAAATGAGAATAGCAGAGAGTTGACACTCATACCATGCTCCCAAATCCAATATAAATAGGTTTGGATCCCTTCTGGATCCACCGAACAAATTCTTCAGGAGGTTGATACTTTGACCCAAGATTTAAAAAACAATAACCAACAACATCAACCAGTGGGCCCCAATCTGCACATCACTTAAATGCAATTAGTCCTTCAATAAGATTTTGATAAAAAAGCATCAACAAAAACAAACTTTTTGTGGCATGTTTGGTTCACAATGCTGGATAGGGGTGATAGTATTAAATAAGAAATATAAGATAAAACCTTATTCATAGTAGTGTCCAGTGCCGTGTTAACCAAACGTGGTTTATGTAGATAAAAGATGTTAATAAAATACAAAGTTGAACTTTCATCCATGACAACATTAACCAATATTGACTTATTTAGAACGTAAATATCATTAAATCAACCAATGCTATGCCATAAAGATGTACTTGCCTTCTGGCTTGGACACAACATGCGGACTCCACATATAGCCTGTTGGCAGATGAGATATTGACCCGTGATATGTGCTGAAGTATGCAATAGGGGGAAGCTTCAGCTTCTTTTTCCTAAAGTCATTAATATACCCCCTTATGCCCCACCATATTAGTAAATCCACAAGAATGTATGAAAGCTGGATCAATAAAGAAATATTAAGCAGAATATTTTGTTTATGAAATCCATATAAAAATTTATATCTAGATTGCAAAGGTAAGAAGAGTCCACAGACAACTTAAAACATACCCAGTATCCTGCACTTTGTGGTACATGTGCAAATGGGTGAGGAAATGCATATGTGGGCCTGCCTATTCAATACACATGTTAGAATTTATAATTTTTTCTTTCCTTTAGTTAAAGAGTACATGTAGTATATGACCAATAAAGAGCCAAATTAATACACATATATTTTGAATTCTAGAAATAAATTTAGCTACCCAAACCTTTTGTTATCAAGTTCATAAAGCCAAAAACCACTCCTCGAAACATCAAATACTGCAAATGTGGTTATTTGCACATGTAAGCTATTTTCATCATTTCTCAAGAGGAAATGTAGAGAGATTACAATTTTTGATGATATATTTTTATGAGACCATTCAACTCAGTATTAGTTCAATTACTTAGAATAGTAAGTGAGACAGAGAACTTAGAAACATAAACAGAAATAAAATGTAAACTCACGTCCAAGGCATCGTGAAGAAGATATGCAAGGGTACATCAAGATATTCAGCAACATGTGCATGTCCTGACAACAATTAGGAAATATTAGAAGTGAAATACAAATGCTTCCAAAAACAAAATATGGGCAGTCTACTATTATAACTTTAGCAAAATTTGTAACATTCAAACAGATAAACATTAAAATAACAAACCATAAGCAGGAGGGTTTGCAATAATTGCTTGAGCCCTGAACGGTTCACCATTTTCTGCATCAGGTTCTGTGCAGGCTGGAAGGAGAGATTCAATAATGGCTTTTATTTGCTTCCTTTGTACAGATATTTCTCCAGGCGCTGATGGTATAAGACCTTTATTTCTAGCCATATCTACAATACAAGAAACACACTCAGTGAAGTGTCACATCATTGATGATTTGATTCTACTAATTAAATTTCAGAAGCTGATTGAGAATTCAACTGCTGCATTACTGGAAATTATAGAACTTGCAGTCAAGTAGTTAAAGACTATTGAGTCATTAATTGAACAAAAGTTCACTCATATGAAACTTTGACTTGTACAAACAAAAATAGTTTTCCATATCTAAATGAAGCCATGAATTAGAAGTGAACCAGATAAAAAAGAGGGATTATTGTTCTTCCAAGGGTGGGGATTGGAGGCAAATAATAAAATAATGGAACGAAAAGAGAGACAGAGTAATTGCATTCTATATTTAGGATTCCAAGGTCAAAGAAGACATGTAACAATCCTAATGGGAGTTGACGCTCCAATGGATCTACTAAAGTTCATTTAGTGATGACAAGAACGCATATGCATGTTGAGGGCCTCTTACATCCAGCCAAAACCCGGGGGTCACCACCAAGTGGGTAAAAATCTACTCCAGCCGACTTCACAAATCCACGGAAGTTAGCATGAGTTGCCAACCTAACACGATGACCATATTCCTGTAGCCAAGATTATAATTGATTGAAATCAAAGAATTGAATTATTTACAAGTGCATAAAATGCTAGTTCCATATAAAATGTAAAGAATGCACTGCAATGATGTGTAGAGCTGAATATTAAACAGAATGCAATGTAATAATGGAATCTATTTTGTCAAGCTTGTCTTTTGGAAACAAGAAAATGAAGCAGACATTAAAAGCCTTCTTTACATTTCATTCACACGTCCTTCATTTCAATTATTTTAACAACAATATCTTGATTAACATTTGGTAGAGGTAAGACTACTAAAATACTTTAGTACCTGTTTGAGCCACATTCTTTAAAAATTCATTATTCGCCTAATTCATTTTCATCTACACAATTCTCCCAATAAAATAATTTTACGCGTTAACCCAAAATTTTTCCCTTCTTTTTAACCACACATTCTCCAAAAAAAAAAAAATCACTATTACAAAACTCAATTTTTCAAAAAATGGTGTTCAAACAAGCCCTTAATAATATTGAACTTTTAGCCTCGCTATTCTTTCTCTGTCTACACCTTCTCCCTGTCTATGCGTCTAATTACGACAACAAACATCGTCGACCATATCATGGCCTATTTGTCACCAAAGTACTAGACCAATTTAATTCCAGCAAGAATTGACATCAAATATTTCCAAGAACTTCCCAGACCATCTTTATATGTTCAGACATTCTTAAAACATCTAAAAGATCACCTTGAAGCAGCAAGAAGTCATCAAATCTTGTTGGATAAAGAACACAAAAAAACCAGTTCTATAATCCCAGTCAATCTCTTTTAACAATACCAAGTTATTAGTTATGTAGACAATAGTAGCAATGACCACTGAACAAACTACTTCAAAATTTTAGTTTTACACTTTAAAAGAAGAAAGGTATAATTCAGTGTCAGTCATCAATCGATACAGAAATTCAGTCCACCAATAACTTTTAAAGAAAACTCCTAGCGGCTAAATTTGCAGAGATGAATTGCTTAAAGATCAAATCTTTTGAGTTATTTTAATGGAAACAAAATTTCCCAATTTCAAAAGGTGAATATTATTTTAAACTACTCAAAGAGAGAAAATAGAAGTATTTCAAATTGGAGGGGGTATCAATTTTGTTTCTGGAAAGAAGGTCTAGAGCGATAGCCAATGGGATCCGAAAATAGTACTTTAGCTTAGTTGAGACAAGGATTGCAATGCCCACAGCAAAAAATAATAATTGTTCAAAAAAATATATAAATTCATCTACTCTATCTGCAAAAAATACAGTGAAATGAAGATCGCTATTGCAATATTTCCTGATTTACAAGAGTAGTGTATGATTGCATTTTCATACCACTCAAAAAACTAAAAATAAATAAATAAATAAGAGGCTCCTTTTTCAGCCATGCATCTACCCCATCAAAATTGGAGTGTGGTTTTACAAACCTATTAAACCAACTCATCTAAAAACTTAATGGTTAAGAGTAAAGATAAATTTATTTATGTATAAGTTATGTTCAACATGCCCTTCTAGTCAAAGGCCTAAAATGTGAGATGAACATCACTAATGCAATATTTCCTGATTTACAAGAATAACATATGATTGCATTTTCAGACCACTCAATAAGCAAAAAAAATAGCTCATCTTTTCAGCCATGCCCTCTACCCTATCAAAATTGGAGTATGGTTTTACAAACGTATTAAACCAACTCATCTAAAAACTCAATGGTTAGAGTCAAGATATGCTTATTTACGTATATGTAATGCTCAACACGCCCCTTCTAGTCAAAGGCCCAAAACATGAAATTTTCATAAATAGATTATGACTAGACTTTAACCGAATACATTGGTCTACGCTAAGAGCATCTCCAAGAAACTCTAAATACAAGACGATCTCTATTTTAGGGATCCAATTTTAAAAATAAACTCCAAGAGTCTCTCTCTGTTAACTGTTTCAAATAAATAATGCTCGAGAGTCAAAATCACTTTCTATTATTACTTTAAAATGATTGCATTTTAATAAGCTACGAGTTTCACTACTTTTCTTCTTAATTTATTTAAATTATATTTGAATTGACTGATCATTAACATGTAAAAATAGTGTTAAATTAAAAATGGGAAAAATCAATAAATATTTCTTGAAAAAGCAAAATGAAGAACTAAAATAGAGAGATCTAAATTTGAAGATGCTCCCTAATATGTAAAAGATACTTTTTATAAATAGAGAGTCTCTTGGAGATGCTTTGACATGTTTAACCATCTTATTCTCACCTAGAAGCTTTAGTGGTCAAAGAGATGACTTCATTTATTTAGCCCTTGTTTGAGCCCCATTCTTTGGAAAGAAATGCATTCTTAAACAGTGTTTTGATATCATTTCAACCACACATTCTTTAATAAAATAATATTACACGCAAATCCAAATTTGTTCCTTATTTTTTAACCACACATTTTACATCAATACCCTATTCAAAAATACATTTTTATGATAAAAATGGGGCTCAAACAAGGGCTTATATTTAATCTTCCACAGAACCTATCTGCAACCAACAAATTTCCAGAAGAGATCAACTCTACTCCCACGAAAGCTACAACATTTCTGTCTATTAACTTAGTTGTTGAAGTTCTACATGACTAAACCTTACATGAAGACACTACAGTCCCAGTTACCTACGACCATAATACATTAACTTACAGTCTTTTGAAGGCTAAACTTTTAGTTTTGAAACTCACAGAATGTCAAGTCATGTTAATTTCAGTAGCATAAAAAATATAAGATACTAGATGGAGAAAAAGTAGATGGGCAAGTGGGAGGCTAATAATAATGTGAAATGAGATAAAAACTATCGTAAATTTGTCCACTCATGTAAGTTTAAATTTAATTTACATACTTGAAGTCTCCTTGCCAAAGCCAGAAAGGGCTGAACATCTCCTCTTGTTCCAACTACAAGCACTGCAACGTTCAACTTTGGAATTGATTTGTTCAGATCAGGGGTGGATCTTGTGATGTAATCACTACTTGGAGGAACACCTTCAACTGAATGAAGTTCTAAGAACTCAGAAGTAACAGGTTCACTATTAGTGAGGTCAACCTCCACTGTTCCATCATTTTGGATCTTCAATAAGTCCATTATGAGCTTTTTCTGATTAGAATGACAAAAAAAGTGCAAGAACCAATCAGAACAAGGAAAGGGTAACAGTAGGAACAATGGCAGTACTCACTCGAAAGGATATATAAATTAAGTCTGCATAGCAAGCACTTATCCAGAAAGCGATCCCGAAATTTTAGTAAGGGAGATATGATATAAGTACAGGATGCAATGACATGTCCCCTCACCACAAAAATGAAAATATGTAACACTATATCTCACAATTTCAGTACTTTCTCCTTTAAAGCAACAGATAAGATACACGAGTCATTTATAAAGTAAAAGGACATCGAGCAAATTAAGTGGTACAAGATATCCAACTAAGAAAAATAAGCACACTAGTCTGTGTAAATTATCATCCTTATGCAGACACAAAGTACTCAAACTTCAAGTGTATTAATGAAGGAATGTTAAGTCAGGTATAAGATGCAGGTAGCTGTGAAATTCACCTTCTCACGTTCAGAAAGTCTATCGAATTTTAGGTCAATCCTTGTACTACCCCTTTTTTCAGTCATAGACCTTGAAATTGCGCCTTCCTGATTTTCAAAGAAGAGATTTCTGCCAGTTCGAACAGGTGCAGTGATGCAATGGTCCAAACCTTAAATAGAAAAATGCTTAAATAAGAAAAATTCAAATCTCTAAGCATAGAGAAACAAAACAAATACTTGCATCTACCTCACACTTTTGAGGCAGTGTCTTCATCACATAAGTTCGATTACTCAGATTATCACCAAAAGAAATGCATCATCAAAGTGCAGAGTAGTTCAAGAACATACCAAGCAGGCAAGTAACATGATACATTTGGCATAAAATAGCAAACTAGATGTTTGAACTAGTACCACCTTTCTAATAGGATAAACGTTAAATAATGTACAGACCAGATTCAGTCTTGATAGTGGATCTGGCTTTAGACGGGGATCCATCATCACGTCAAATTTCAGGACCACTCAGGTGATTCATATCAGTAAAGGGAAATAAGTTGGTAATGTCTTCCCCTTAAGACTGAAAAGAGAGCTCTTGCACCCGTTCTTCCCAAGAGAATTAGAAGCTGAAGACAAGACTATAGTGAAAGATCACTGAGAGTTTGTATGAATATGTCACACAGGGAATATAAAGCATGAGAGAGAAAATAGTGGGAGGAATAGGAGCCCATAATTCCAATAACTAAACCATAAGACCACAACATTTCTCAGAGCAGTTTGGGAACTTTCGGTTTTGCAATCAGGGGTGTGCTCTTTTCCCCCGACTTGACATAGAGTGAAACACAAAAAAAAAAAAGAAGAAGAAGAAACTCCTCTTCTTATTCATATCATTTGTTTTCTGATTAGTTGGAACAAACAAGTATGTACGCATAATTCCTAGTTTTGAACTAAGGACACGTAAATTAATGAAAGGAGATATAGAACGATAGGCAGAGTTTCTCAAATTTGAGAGAATCGTTTGGTGGACACCTAACTATTTGCTTTTTCGACTTTCAAAAGGCTTGCAAGTAATTCAAACTTATAATATGAGATCTCAATCATATACTTCCTAAATTTAAAGAACCTAGGATTAGTCAAACATTTCTCAATAAATGATGAGACAGAAACTTCCAGTCTACATATCTACGATCCTAATTCCTACACCCCACCCCCCCCCCCCCCCCCCCAAAAACCACAAAAACACACAGACA